TATATATATATATATATATACATCAAATGACACCACAGTACTAAATCTGAAGTTTTGTTTCTCTATAAAATGAGAGGCTTTAATTTTTTTTTAAATGTATGACATGGATTTACTTCCTGATAAACAACTTCAATGTTTTTAAGTGAGTTTAAAGTACAAGATCTACGTACAAAATGAAATAATTGCAGAGATAAAACAAAAAAAAAATGAACTTAGCGTTATGTTTTTTTTTTTTATAAATGTAAATCTATCACATAATGTTTTGTGTGCCTAACTCTACATGTGGCAGAAAAATGAAAACGATCATTGTATATCACCAAGGAAATCCAATCACCACAGGGAAACACGGTTGCATCGTGGAGGTTGGTGGGAAGATTAATGGGTTGTAGAGGTTCACTGCATAGGTTTTGATTAAAGGGTTCAGATCTTATATTTGGAATAATAATTATGAGGAATAAACTGGCCAAACCAATATACAGACACACAGTTAAAATCAGACCTTTACTTACAATGAAAGGTGTTGACATATTTTTATTTGCAGTGAGAGACTAAACAAAACTAAAATCATCCTGATTTCACTCAGCAAGGATAGATTACAGGACTACCATGTAAAATGTATGGCTTGGGTCAGATGTTTTGTGATTCTCTCCACATGCTCCTCTCAATAGTTTACTAAAACTTTGTCCCATTTCACAGAACTCTTGATTCCTTCAGTCCCACCTCCTTCCTAAGCCTAACTGAGACCAGGGTGTGGTAATTGTCTCTCTAAAGCATTGTTCTTTTATGAAGTGTGCCAAATGTAACCATTATTATGATGGTCATTCAGCACATTTTACAAAATCTGTTATGTAGGAGGGGAGTTTCCTCATTGGATTTTAAGATGTTCATCAGCATAAACTGCTCAGTATTTAACAAATCTTGGTCAAGCATGAAATCCACTGAGATAGCAATGCATTTCATGAAATGCAGCTTTTATTCCAATGGAAAGGTTCAGTTCCAGAAATGTGAAATGTATTATCCTCCGTCACAAATCAGTGTTATTCCATCATTAACTGCAGTCCTGAAAGTCCAAGGATATGCTAATTGCATTGTGCATGCATCTTGTTATGAGTCTTTTTCTTCTAAACTCAGGCTGTTAAATGCTTTCATCATGGTCTAAGTTAAGTTAATTCTATTATCCTTAATTAATGCATCTTCACATACATTTTTGTTGCAGCAATTTATTTCCTGTTTTATTCTGTTAAATATTCATAAGAGAAATTAAATTTTATTTTGGATGATTTGTACTGTAGTATTCCATGCATGCAAAACAATCCACATTGTTTTGCATGCAGTTATGAAATCCATGGATCTTGATGGCAGGTAAATATCCTTAGTTGCTCTGCTGCGACTACCCATCTGTAGTCAGGGATGGATTCTCTCAGCCTTTTGTTGTCATGAAGCAGAAGCCCGCCTCTCCCACCCTGAACCAATGTGGCTGCATGTCAGTTCTCATTAGTGAAACAAAGTCTTTGCACTCCCAAGTCACAAAGAGAGAAACATACCAATGGGAGCCACGTCAAAGCTGAAAAAGAATGTTTGTTTAATAGATAATTCTAAGATAACGGCCATAGAAGCACATTTTTCCATCTGTTAAACAATGACTTTCTAATTCAGTTTTTTTTATTATCAAGGGGGGTTTAATGATTTCCTGGTAGTCACCTTTTATGTTCTTATGAATAATTTTGTTATGAGGAAGTCATCTTCATAAGAGGCATTTATATCATGGGTTAGGAAATATTTCAGAATATGTTACAGAATCAGAATCAAAATGTGACATAAACAAAAAAAAAAAAAGACTAAAATATTGTGGCATTGTCCTTACTAACCTTTCTCTGATTTTTCGGAAATATAAAGATAGAAATGTTGCACTCTCTTATTTGTTAAACAGTTGAATTTGTCATGACAACAGTTGCTGGTAAATTGATTATGGATGTTATATTCTTCTTCTGCTGTACAGCTGGTACAGTGGACCTTTCCAGGTCACTTGGCCTCATTTCAATGACACCAAATGAATGCAAAGCACTCCATAATCAGCTTTTCTTATACTTCGCTCCACTTTTAATTATCTTTTCTCGTACTTCAGAATAAAACAGCGTAGCTTGAAATAAAACTACAAATATATTTCTAACGAATGTAAAAAAAAGCAGAGATATAATCTACAGTATAGCAACACATGCTCTGTCTATCAATTATTTAGCCTCAAAACTAAACCTTGTGCAGCCATCTATTATTAAAATACAATAAAAGCATCAAATATTCTATAATTGCATTCAAGATTCTTTGTTTCAGACTTTTCCAACACCAACTCAATTTATCCACTTAATCCAGAGTTGATTTATTGGTTTGGTTTAAATATTTCCATCTGAATCAAATAAGTGTTTCTAAAATGTTCCTGTGCACATTCACAACATTTTCATGCCCATATCACGTTAAGAGACAACCCACCCACAGTGTTGATTCTTGTAGACTTGGATCCTTGACTGAGCCCCTCCTTCAGCTGTTCCCAGCCAGTTAAAATGATCCAATTAGATTCTGGTAAGGGATTAACGTAGCACAAACAGTAACACTTGCTCTTGTTATGCATTAAAAAAGGGAACACCTAATTTACAATAAAACCCTGGAAAGCTGGAAAGTAAAAGAAGCTGGCTTGGGGATTAACTAACTGATAAGTTATCAGTTAGTTGATTCTTGACATTTCTGCTTATTATTCTGGTTTAATATGTTTTATTACATCTGTATAATTAGCTGTGCCAGATAATCCAGACCCAATCCTGTTTCAGCTGTTTCAGTGAATGACATTGAATTATTATTGTCTTCAAGAGTCAAAGTGCACAAATCAGAAAGAAGATTTTAGAGATGAAGTTTTTAGTCTGTAATACCTCAACTTATATATAAAAAAATTTTGGATCTAAATGATGAAACCCTACTTGCACACACTGAAATGTTTTAGGAAAAATCTATTTAGAGTTTCAGTCTATTGTCAAAATTACAAAGCAGTGAATGATAATGTGAAGGATTTAATTGCTCCAAAAAGATATGCATGTCTCTCAAATCCTCTCTATTGTGCAACATATTCAGTATCAAATAGTATTCAGATATTTGTATCCTCTATAAATCCCAATTATTACCTTTACTGAGTAGTATCATATGTTTCGGACAACTAAGGAACATAGTCAGCAACTGATATTTTACTGTGCAATAAATATAGAATATAAAATATAGATGTAAAAGTCAAAGCTACATTCCACAGAAACATTTTTTTAACTGTTCTACAGATAACCATGATGCCTAGGAGCTTATCACAAAACAATGAATGTTTAACAAACAGATACATTTCACAACAGAAAAATATTGGATATAATCATATAGTATTTGGCTGCAACACATACATTAAACAAACGTCAGGTTTTCTGCAGAGCAGGACATGGCTAAAGAAAGCTTGTTTGTTCCTTTCCCTGCAGACTAAAGTTGATGTTTGCAAAAATCCCCTGTTCTTCACAGAGATTTTATGCACAGATGGTTCTGCAGGTCTTGCTTGTACTTGTTTCTGTCTCTTTGCACTTTAAACTAACGCTCTGTGATTTTAACCATGAATGTTTTGTGTCATATATCGAACGTTCAAAAATTAACACAGCTGATTATTGTTTTTAACTTTTCACTACTAAATGGCACTGATGTCTATCCACACATCTTCTCTTGCATATTCAATCAGAGTCGTGGTGTGGCTGATGCTTATCACCGGCAGTCTATGAGCAAGAGTTAGGGGACATCCTGGACAGGCTGCCATACTGTAACAGGGCAAGACAAAGACACAAAGAGACCATGCACACACACACTAATACCTTGGGGTAATTTATTGAAGCCAATTAACAGAGCAGTCATGCTTTTTGACTGTGGGA